AACCATTGCACACAACAGTGTTTTTGAGAATGCAGCTGGCGCTCGAGCCGGAAGCCAGCGCCGCCAGCGTCGACTTACTACACCCCGTAGTAGCGCACAGTCATCGTCAAGGGCGTGCCGAATAGTCAAGCCAGGTGACGCTCCCAGAGGAGAACGATCCTCGCGAGGGGCGGTAAGTATTGGGCCAGGTGACGCTGTTCGAAAAAAGTGGAGCTGACAAAGATGACGGTCTCGCGCCTTGTCCGCTCTTCGTTCTCTCTCTTTCTTGGAGGCCGTGTACTCCTCCTCCTCCTCCTCCTCCTCCTCCTTCTCCCCTTCCTTTGCCTCCTTGTCTCCTCTGCCCGCTTCTCCTGCGCCCTCCACAATTATTCAATACGGATACTACTATCCCTCTTCCCATGATGACGGTTTGAAAGTGTTAGCCCCCCCCCCGCGTACTGTTTCTTACACACAGGATTCCCCGGAGTTGGGTTTTCGCCTGCATTTGCTTCCCAAATGCTGCTCTCGCTGAGGCGCCGGCCTCATTTTCGGGCCCCGCTCAATCCGAATCGTGCTCCCGCTTCAACGCTGGCCTCATTTCCGTGCTTCCGCTCGTTCCGAATCGTGCTCCCGCTGCAGCGCTGGCCTCATTTCCGCGCTTCCGCTCGTTCCGACTCGTGCTCCCGCTGCAGCGCTGGCGTCATTTCCTGTGCCATGCCACGGCATGCAATGCAATGCTAGGTTGATACTACGCTTTGCTGTGCTCTTCTACGCCATGCCACGCCGTGCTCTACAATGCATCGCGTACCCTTTCGGGATCATTGCCCTGCTTGACATCCGACTGTGCGAGTAGAGAGGGGATCTACGCCATGGTAAGGGATGGGAGGGAGGGGTAAGATGTCAGATATGACGCGAGCGCACCTAGCTTGTCCCTCTCCCCCTCCTCCTCCTCCTCCTCCTCCTCCTCCTCCTCCTCCTCCTTCTCCCCTTCCTTTGTTTCCTTGTCTCCTCTGCCTGCTTCTCCTGCGCCCTCCACAATTACACAATATGAAAATACTCTCCCACTTCCCCTGATGGCGTCCCGTAAATATCCGACACCCCCCCGCGTATTGTTTTTACACACAAGAATCCCGGGAAACGGGTTTTCGCTTCGGTTTTTTTTCCCAACCATCCTGTGGTGTTGGGTCCTCGTTTTGAAGAGACGGTGCCCCGCGTTCTCCTTCCTTCCTTCCTTCCTCCCGCTGCCTCCTCCCCCTCCTCCTCCCTCCTCCCCGTCTTCCCTGCGTTTCACCCCCCCAGTACACCGTTTCGTTGCCCCATAGGGAGCTCAGCCGAAGGCCCCAGTGCTGCCGCCCGCATGCGTCCCCCACACCCAATTCGGCACCCCCCCATCACACGTTTCGTGGCCCCATAGGAGCTCCGCCGAAGGCCCCAGTGCTGCCGCCCGCATGCGTCCCCCACACCCAATTCGGCACACTCCTCACACGCTTCGTGGCCCCATAGGAGCTCCGCCGAAGGCCCCAGTGCTGCCGCCCGCATGCGTCCCCCACACCCAATTCGGCACACCCCTCACACGCTTCGTGGCCCCATAGGAGCTCTGCCGAAGGCCCTAGTGCTGCCGCCCGCATGCGTCCCCCACACAAAATTCGGCACACCCCTCACACGTTTCGTGGCCCCATAGAAGCTCCGCCGAAGGCCCCAGTGCTGCCGCCCGCATGCGTCCCCCACACCCAATTCGGCACACCCCTCACACGTTTCGTGGCCCCATAGGAGCTCCGCCGAAGCCCCAGTGCTGCCGCCGCATGCGTCCCCCACACCCAATTCGGCCCCATAGGGAGCCCCACGTTTCGTGCCCCCATAGGAGCTGCCGAAGGCCCCAGTGCTCTGGCCGCCCGCATGCGTCCGCCCCCACCCAATTCGGCACACCCCTCACACGTTTCGTGGCCCCATAGGGAACTCCGCCGAAGGCCCCAGTGCTGCCGCCCGCATGCGTCACGCACACCCAATTCGGCACACCCCTCACACGTTTCGTGGCCCCATAGGAGCTCCGCCGAAGGCCCCAGTGCTGCCGCCCGCATGCGTCACGCACACCCAATTCGGCACACCCCTCACACGTTTCGTGGCCCCATAGGGAGCTCCACCGAAGGCCCCAAGCTGCCGCCCGCCTATGCATGCGTCCCCCCCACACACAATTCGGCACACCCTCACACTTTCGTGGCCCTAGGGAGCTCCGCCGACCCCAGTGTGCCGCCCGCATGCGTCCCCCACACCCAATTCGGCACACCCGTCACACGCTTCGTGGCCCCATAGGGAGCTCCGCCGAAGGCCCCAGTGCTGCCGCCCGCATGCGTCACGCACACCCCAGTCGGCACACCCCTCACACGTTTCGTGGCCCCATAAGGAGCTCCGCCGAAGGCCCAAGTGCTGCCGCCCGCGTGCGTCACGCGCACCCAATTCGGCACACCCCTCACACGTTTCGTGGCCACATAAGGAGCTCCGCCGAAGGCCCCAGTGCTGCCGCCCGCATGCGTCACGCACGCCCAATTCGGGACACCCCTCACACGTTTCGTGGCCCCATAGGGAGCTCCGCCGAAGGCCCCCGTGCTGCCGCCCGCATGCGTCACGCACACCCAATTCGGCACACCCCTCACACGTCTCGTGGCCCCATAGGGAGCTCCACCGAAGGCCCCTGTGCTGCCGCCCGCATGCGTCACGCACGCCCAATTCGGCACACCCCTCACGCGTTTCGTGGCCCCATACGGGGGCTCCGCCGAAGGCCCCAGTGCTGCCGCCCGCATGCGTCCCGCACACCCAATTCGGCACACCCCTCACACGTTTCGTGGCCCTATGAGCTCCGCCGAAGGCCCCAGTGCTGCCGCCCGCATGCGTCACGCACACCCAATTCGGCACACCCCTCACACGTTTCGTGGCCCCAAAGGGGGCTCCACCGAAAGTCCCGGCGGGTGTGCCCGCATGCGTCCCGCACATTTATTTCGCACACCCCTCACACGCTTCGTGGCCCCATAGGGAGCTCCACCGAAGGCCCCAGTGCTGCCGCCCGCAAGCGTCCCGCACACCTATTTCGGCACACCCCTCACGCGTTTCGTGGCCCCACAGGGAGCTCCGACCGAAGGTCCCAGTGGTTGTGCCCGCATGCGTCCCGCACACCCATTTCGGCACACCCCTCACACGTTTCGTGGCCCCATAGGGAGCTCCACCGAAGGCCCCAGTGGGTGTGCCCGCATGCGTCCCGCACACCCAATTCGGCACACCCCTCACGCGTTTCGTGGCCCCATAGGGAGCTCCACCGAAGGTCCCAGTGGGTGTGCCCGCATGCGTCCCGCACATTTATTTCGGCACACCCCTCACACGCTTTGTGGCCCCATAGGGAGCTCCACCGAAGGCCCCAGTGCTGCCGCCCGCATGCGTCCCGCATGCCCATTTCGGCACACCCCTCACGCGTTCGTGGCCCCACAGGGAGCTCCGCCGAAGGTCCCAGTGGGTGTGCCCGCATGCGTCCCGCACACCCATTTCGGCAAGCTCTTCACACGTTTCGTGCCGAAGGCCCCAGTGGGTGGTGCCAGCATGCGTCCCGCATCACCCAATTTCGCCCCCACCCCTCACTGCGTTTCGTGACCAGTTCACACGTTTCGTGGCCCCATAGGGAGCTCCACCGAAGGCCCCAGGTGCAGGGTTCGCATGCCTCCCCACCACCCATCTCGGCACACCACTCACACGTTTCGTGGCCCGCAGGGGGGCTCCAACCGAAGGTCCCAGTGGGTAGTGCGCACATGCTTTGTCCCGCATACATTATTTCGGCACAGAGCCCTCAACAACCGCTTCGTGCCCCATAGGGAGCTCCACCGAGGTCCCAGTGGGTGTGGCCCGCACGGCGCACCCGCGCACTCCCATTTCGGGCACACGTCCCTTCAACACGTTTCGTGGCCCCAGAGGGAGCGCCACCGAAGAAGATATTCACAATTGCGGTATTCACAATTGCATATGGTTGGGCCCTTCGCCAGGATAATTCCAACATGCTGCTCTCGCTGAGGCGCCGGCCTCATTTCTGCTCCCGAATCGTTCCGAATCGTGCTCCCGCTGCAGCGTGGGCCTCATTTTCGGATCGGTGTTTGGCCTCCGTCGTTCAGGATGGCGTTCTCGCCCCAGCGCGGGCCTCTTCCTCGCGCGCCCATCCGCCCGCCACCACCGCGCCGCACCACCACCACCACCACCACCACCACCACCACCACCACCACCACCACCACCACCACCACCACCACCACCACCAGCACCAGCACCAGCACCAGCACCAGCACCAGCACCAGCACCAGCACCAGCACCAGCACCAGCACCAGCACCAGCACCAGCACCAGCACCACCACAACCACACACGCACGCACGCACGCACGCACGCACGCGCACCACCACCGACTACGCACGCGCGCGCGGAGCCACAAGTCCGCTACGACACGCGTCCGCGGATAGAGAAAATCAGCGCCATGGTAAGGGATAGGAGGGAAGGGTAGGACGTCAGATATGACGCGAGCGCACCTAGCTTGTCCCCCTCCCCCTCCCCCTCCTCCTCCTCCTCCTCCTCCTCCTCCTCCTCTTCCTCCTCCTCCTTCTCCCCTTCCTTTCCTCCTCCTCCTCCTCCTCCTCCTTCTCCCCGTCCTTTGCCTCCTTGTCTCCTCTGCCTGCTTCTCCTGCGCCCTCATCCCCCTTCCCCTCCTCCTCCTCCTCCTCCTCCTCCTCTTCCTCCTCCTCCTTCTCCTCGAAAGTGCGTCGACTCGGCTTGGGAACTGCGCGTGGCAGCCAAACTCTGAAAGCATGGAGGAGGGAATGGGAAGGAACGACGGGACGGAAAGAGAGAGACGGAAGGAGGAGAGGACACGGAGGGGAGAGAGGATGTTTTTCCTTCCAGTCGCGCGGAAGCGGTCAAATTCCTTCCAGTCGCGCGCCGCCCGTCGACGCGACAAACGCCGGCCAATTGGGCCGCCATGCGCAGCGAGCGCGTTAGAACATTACTGAAGTCCAACAGGCGACAAGCCAAACGCATGCCAGCCAGTCAGGTTGTGCAGGTTGCTTGCGCGGAGCAGGTACGGAGGTAGAGGTATGGATGTATGGAGGAATGATGCTATGGGCGCGCGCAGGCATGGATGAAGGGCCGCATGGATACGTGGAGTCTAAGTGCGTGGGGCAATGGATATATTTGTGTATGGTGTTACATAGTCAAGGACATCTGGAGGCATGGCACTATATATGTATATACATATATATGTATATATATATATATATATGTATAGGTATATATATATATATATATATATATATATGCATACACTAGAACCATCGCGCGCGCTTCGCGCGCGCTCAGGTTCTAGCCAGGATCCTCACCATCGTCATCATCGCAATCATCACCATCGTAGTCATCGTCATGGTCGTGTTCACCATTACCATCACCAGCACAACCATCATCATCACCACCATCATCGTCATCATCGTCAGCACCATCGTCATCATCGTCGTCGTCATCGTTGTCCTCGAGCCCTGGACCCCGTCGTTCCGCGCCATTTCTCGAGCCGCATCGATCCGCGAGGGTCCTGGGACCCGAGGCGGTGCGACAACGCCCGTCGTGAAACAAAACGTTGCAACGCCAGGACCTCAGGGCTGGTCCTGAGGACCCCCCCCCCGAGACCCTGGCGCTGGCTTCTGCTGGCCGGCGAGGCCCGCTGGGCCAGAGGTAGGCGCCCGCGCCCGAGCGAGGCCGAACCCTTCCTCCGCGCGCGGCCCCCTCCCCACGGGCAGGGCCCGGGCCGGCCCGCCGCGGGGCGCGGGCGGCTCTCTCGGCAGGCATCGGCCCGGGGAGCCCGCCGCGGAGCGACCTCCACGCGGCGTGGGAGAGAGACGCCCCCGTCGCCGCGGCGAAAGACACGGTTTGATCCCGCGGGTCGAGAGCGCACCTCTTCCGGTCGAAGCTGAGCGGGCCGCGGGAAGCTTGGATTAGCCGCGGCGAAAAACATGCCGCGGCTGGAAGCGGGCCTACCGAGGGACCTGCCGAGCACCGCCACGTCGCCCCGCGGCGAGAAGGATCTCATGGGGCAACCTACAAGGGGGGGACTGCCCTCCAGGGGGGGGCGGGGGCGCCAATCCCTCCATTCGTTGGTTTGCACCAGAGCTGACGTGCCCGCCGAGTCGACGAGCACGTGCCTGTGCTGGCCCGTAGGATCTGGCATCATCCCACGCGCTTCTTGCAGATCCGGCGGGAAACTCAGGTGTAGAGCGCGCTGGATCAATTCATTGTGTAGTCGATCCCCGATTCGGAAACAGCACGTCTCGTTTTCGTCTTGTTTCCGTTCTCCCCCGTTCTGCCTCCAATGCGCCTCTGCTGCAAAACGGGGGCGAAGCGAAGACGGCCCACGAAATCGCCCAGAACACCGCTCGGGTGGACCCCTGCTCCCCGGCGCCTCCTGGCGCTGTATGCGCCAATGCGCTGCGGATAGAAGTCGGGGGTATATATATATATATATATATATACATATATGTATAGATATATTCACATCTGTATTTATATTTATACATATATATATATATACATATGTATATATATATACGGATGCGGACGACGCTCCTCTCTCTCGGAGCGCGAAGATACCGCTCTCCTCCCGAAGCGCGCAGATCCCGCTCCCCTCCCTCGGAGCACGAAAATAGCGCCCCCCGCCCTCGGAGCACGGCGCCCTTCCGAGACCACGACCCCTCTCGGACGCGCCCCCGCGAGCTTGCATGGACAATGGACCCGGTGGCTGCCCAGAGGGTTCCTCTCCGTGGGCCCGCAGCACCCGCCGGCGCACTGCGTGGTCAGGGAGCCGCACCAATCGGCACGGCGGCATGGCGGAGGGTCGGTGTGTCTGATTTTCCGGCCGCCCCCACGCAAGCGCGCTGTCAGGCGAAGGGTGTCACCGTTCCCGATGTCGTAAGAAGATAAACGCTTGCCGTTTTCTGTCGGACGCCCGTCGAAAAGAAGGCGCTGGTGGTCAAGGGGGATGCCGGCCCGTGATAGGATGATGAGTTTGATGCTGTATATCGTGTCGGTGACCAGGGCGTTCATGGCCAACGTATGACCCGCCAAGGGCTTGACGAACATCTGCATGGTCCTGCGCTCGACACTCGCGGAATTGGCCGTGGAATTCGGCACACAAGGCGAATGCGGCGAGCGCTGGGACATGAACGCGGCGACCATGATGAAGATGGCCGTCAAGAAGGTGAAGACCAAAGCGGTGGCCTGGGGGAAGTAGCACTGACCATCATAACCGCAGCCCCAGGCCATGGCAGTGCCGGCGCTCCTGAGCAGGACGGTGTGGTGTGCGACAGACGCGACCTGCGTGTAGGTCAGGTCCTCGATGGCCTGGGGGAAGCAGCACTGATCATCATAACCGCAGCCGCAGGCCATGGCAGTGTCGTCGCTCCTGAGCTGGACGGTGTGGTTCGTGACAGCGGCGACCTGCGTGTAGGTCAGGTCCTCGATGACTTGGGGGAAGTAACACTGACCATCATAACCGCAGCCGCAGGCCATGGCAGTGCCGGCGCTCCTGAGCAGGACGGTGTGTTGTGTGACAGCGGCGACTTGCGTGTAGGTCAGGTCCTCGATGACCTGGGCGAAGCAGCACTGACGATCATAACCGCAGCCGCAGGCCATGGCAGTGCCGGCGCTCCTGAGCAGGACGGTGTGGTGTGTGACAGCGGCGACCTGCGTGTAAGTCAGGTCCTCGATGACCTGGGGGAAGTAGCACTGACCATCATAACCGCAGCCGCATGCCATGGCAGTGCCAACGCTCCTGAGCAGGACGGTGTGGTGTGTGACAGCGGCGACCTGCGTGTAGGTCAGGTCCTCGATGGCCCGGGGGAAGCAGCACTGACCATCATAAGCGCAACCGCAGGCCATGGCAGTGCCGTCGCTCCTGAGCAGGATGGAGTGGTACGTAACAGCGACGACGTGCGCGCAAGGGAGGCCCCGCAGCAGCGCACGGGCAAGAAAAGTTGTCCGAAACATGGATATATGAAAGGCCTACGGCGGTAGGCACGCCAGAATATGGATATACAAATTGATAGAAACAATAATTGAAGGTTTTAACCGAAACGGCCACAGAAGGAAGCTGAGGAGGTACCATGTCCGATGGAGAGGGTAGCATGTGTCCAAGGGCGGAGGTTCGGCCCGTCCTGTTTCGTTCGAGGGTCGAGGTATTCGGATGCGTTCGTTGGTTCTTGGATGTGTTCTCGACTTGGGATGTCTGCCAGCAGCTGCGCCTCGGCGAGGGCGTTCTGACGCATCAGAAAAATTGGAGCGCGCGGATGTCTGCGAAATTCGAACTGCCAGGATCTGGCTTGCGGGCCAAACTCGAGCCTCCGGCGGCCATTCTGAGACGATTCCAAAACCTCCCCGGGATTGTCCCGGGGTCGTTGAATGGCCCCCGGAGGCCGAAAACGACGACGTCGTCGGCGGCGGCGGCGACGACGACGACGACCCCGCGGCCAAGGCAACAGGGTTGCTCGACTAAGCCATCTGCCGTCGAGCTGGAGCGACCTGACTGGGATCTCGAGGCGAGCCTGGTCCTGGAATTTATCCCACGGGCGGTCCAGCCGTGGCGAGGGCCGATGAAACCGGCGTTCGAAGCAAGTCGGGGGCCTGGACCGCTTCTGCAGGACCTTGTAGATCTATGGCGAATCCACAGGAGGTCGTTCTTCGAGTGGTTTGCCGGGCCACGAGTCCGGCCTCAGCGGCCATTCGGAACGATTCGAGCACACCCTGGGCACACTGTCGGTGAGGCGTGACATCCAGAGAGCAGAAAGCCCCGAAGTAGAAAAGAAGACCTCCGAACACATCCGATGTGTCGATGTGCGAACCTGGATATCCTGCTCCGTCTCCTCTTCCTCGCCCTCCTCCTCCTCCTCCTCCTCCTCCGCTTCCTGCACCCAGAGATCCGATGTCGTGTTTTGTTGAATAGGGGGTCACCGAAGGTCCACGGAGGTGACGACAACTTCCCTGAGGCCCGTTTGGCCCGACAGCGGCCGCGAGAGGCTGAAATCGAAACAACCCCCAGGCGAGGAGACAACAGGATGAGGGCGAGCAGCAAGGGAGCAAGAAACAGCGCGGCCTCCTGGCCCAGGGAACGGCGATATCGGCCATGGCCGCGCTGGGGGGCTGCCCGGGGCGCGGGGTCGCCGGAGATAGAGGGAGAGGCGCGCGGCGCACGGCTCGCACCCAAGCGGCCGGGGCGACACAGAGGGTGTGTTTGCGGCGCGCACAAGGGGGTGGCGCCAGGGGGGTGGCCTTCTAAGAAGCCAGGGGGGTTTTAAGAATGCAGGGGGATCTTTAGAAGCCGGGAGAGCTTCAAGAAGCCTTCCTAGAAGCCCCCGAGCACTTGAAAGGAGGCTCCCACCTTCTTAGAAACTCCCCGGCCGCTTAGAAGGCCACCCCCCTCGCCCCTCCCCCCTCTGCTTGCCGCCGAGTGTGATGGCACCACGACGGCGAGAACGACGACGACGACGGAGACACCCCAGGCTGCAGAGGAAGAGGGTGGTCAGGGAGTGGGCGTCGGCACCGAAATCAGCTAAGTAGACATGGGCTGTCCCGACGGAGGAGGACGAGGAGGCCACAGAAACAACGGCAGCCCCCATCCTTTCAAAGCTAACATGTGCACGCTAAGCTCGCACCCTCGGCCCCAACTAACACCACACGCGCAGTTCGAGCGCGCTGAGGTTCCAGCAGCCCCCATCCTCTCAAAGCTAACATGTGCACGCGTGCACGTAACCACCCATGGCAGGAGCATGAACTGGAGAGGTAACAATGGCGCGGTTCCAGCAGCCCCCATCCTCTCAAAGCTAACATGTGCACGCGTGCACGTAACCACCAATGGCAGGAGCATGAACTGGAGAGGTAACAATGGCGCAGACCGAACAGGGCCGTAGTACACACGAGGGCGCACACAGACGTATCGAATGCAACGCCATGCAGACCAATGCGAGTAGTAAAACAAACGCCAAACGTTGCAAATGCAGCGCGATTCACAGCATTATTGTTGAATTGAAATGCAATGCACATGCTACTCAATGCAGGCAGCTCAACGGAACGGATCGGAAGGAAGAAGGGGTGCATATGAAAGTGTCCGAAATCGCATGGGGCTCGTTTCGGTGCCTGCTCGGGGGCTCTTGGGGGCCTCCCGGGGGGCTCTTGGGGGCCTTTGGGAGCCTCTAGTGGTTTCTGGGGATGCTCTTGGGGCCGAGGGCCCGTAAAGTGCGCTCGGATCCCGCGTCTGGGCCCCTTCTTGGAGCCGTGTTGGGACTCTCTTGGGCCGTCTTCGAGGCCTCTTAAGCGGTCCCGGGGCGCTCTTGGGCCGTCTTGGGGCCGTCTTGGTGGCCTCTTGGGCCGTCTTGGGGCGATCTTGGGTGCCTCTTGGCCGTCTTGGAGCGCCAGGGAGCCCAAAAGGAGAGAAAGCCAAAAACATCGAAAAACACAATGGAAAATCCACGATTCGAGCCTCTTGGGGCCCTCTTGGAGAGCCTCTTGGAGGCCTCTTGGGGCGTCTTGGAGGCCCCTTGGGCCGTCTTGGGACCATCTTGGGCGTCTTGGAGCGATCTGGGACCGCCTCGGGGCCCTCTTGGACCATCCTGGGGGCCTCCTGGGGCCGTCTTGGAGGCCTCTTGGGTCGTCTGGAGGCTCCTTGGAGGCTCCTTGGAGGCCCCGGGGAGGGGGTATCAAAAAGCGTTCCCCGATGGTTGCGGGGTGGGCGGCCCCGCCGGGGGGGGGGGGCCTATTTGTTTATATTATATATGTATGTATATACACAAGACTGCAGTGGCGCTTCGCGCCATGCACCTTGGTCCTTGAAGATTGCTATGCAGGCGGAAAAGGCAGGAAGGTCAAGCGGACACTTTAACGATAAGTCCTTGCTGCCGTTTCTGGCATCGCCGTTATAATAATGTTGTTCGTTATCCTTCATCCATGCTGATTTTTCTTCATTCTCGCCATACCCTGGGCATTCTCCCCGTCCTACTCAGCTCTTTTTGCGGAGGCTCCTCCTTGGAGAGCCTCTGGGAGCCTCACCAAAGTTCTCAAGCTTTCTTAAAGCCTTCTGGAGGCCTCCAGGGCGTGTTCTGGGGGCCTCTGGGGCTTCCTAAGGCCAACCTGCCTCTAACCGCGGTCTCCGTGAACGCCCCGGTCACGATTTGGAATGCTTCGGAGGGTGTCTTGGGGCCATCTTGGGCCGCCATGGGGCTCTCTTAGGGCCATTTTGGACTCCTGTTGAGCCGTTTTGGGGCTCTCTTGGACTGCCTGGAAACCCTTTCGGATGGCTGTGGGGCGATTTTGGAGCCTCCCAGGCGAGTTCGGACGCCCAGAAGACCGCTGTCTTGGAGCGTCGGGAAGCCGAAAAGAGGAGAACCCCAAATTCACCAAAAACCTATATTAAATCAATGATTTTTCCCTCTTGGGGCCTTCTTGGGGGTGCTCTTGGAGGTCTCTTGGTACGTTTTCGAGCGATCTTTCGGGGTATGACGGCTTCTTGGAGCGCTCTTGTGCTGTCTTAGGGTTCTCTGGGACGTCTCCGATGACCCCTCTGATCGCCCTAGGTGTGCTGCGAAGGCTTGGCGAAACGCCCTGCGAGGCCCTGGGGGCCGCTTCGAGGCCCGTCCGAAGGGTCCCAAAGTCCCAAAGCCCCAGATCCCAGGAGTCCGGTTTTGGGGAGGGGGGACGGGTTTCCCCCCCGCCCGGGCTTGTAAAAATATAGGAAAAGGAATATATGTATATAAGACTGCAGTGGCGCTTCGCGCCATGCACCTTGGTCCTTGAAGATTGGTATGCAGGCGAAAAAAGGCAGGAAGGTCAAGCGGACACTCTAACGAAACTCCTTGCTGCCTTTTCTGGCATCGCCATTATAATAATGTTGTTCGGTATCCTTCCTCCATGCTTGCTGTTCCTCATTCTCGCCATACCCTGGGCATCCTCCTCATCCTCCTCAGCTCTTTTTGCGGAGGCTCCTCCTTGGAGAGCCTCTGGGGGCCTCACCAAAGTTCTCAAGCTTTCTTAAAGCCTTCAGGAGGCCTCCTGGGCGTGTTCTGGGGGCCTCTGGGGCTTCCTAAGGCCAACCTGCCTCTAACCGCGGTCTCCGTGAACGCCCCGGTCACGATTTGGAATGCTTTGGAGGGTGTCTTGGGGCCATCTTGGGCCGCCATGGGGCTCTCTTAGGGCCATTTTGGACCCCTGTTGAGCCGTTTTGCGGTTCTCTTGGACTGCCTGGAAACCCTTTCGCCTGGTTGTGGGGCGATTTGGGAGCCTCCCAGGCGACTTCGGACGCCCAGAAGACCGCTGTCTTGGAGCGTCGGGAAGCCGAAAAGAGGAGAACCCCAAATTCACCAAAAACCTATATCAAATCAATGATTTTTCCCTCTTGGGGCCTTCTTGGGGGTGCTCTTGGAGGCCTCTTGGTACGTTTTCGAGCGATCTTTCAGGGTATGACGGCTTCTTGGAGCGCTCTTGTGCTGTCTTGGGGTTCTCTGGGACGTCTCCGATGACCCCTCTGATCGCCCTAGGTGTGCTGCGAAGGCTTGGCGAAACGCCCTGCGAGGCCCTGGGGGCCGCTTCGAGGCCCGTCCGAAGGGTCCCAAAGCCCCAGATCCCAGGAGTCCGGTTTTTGGGGGGGGATGGGTTCTCCCCCCGCCCGGGCTTGTAAAAATATAGGAAGAGGAATATGCTCGCCCCCCCCCCCCCCCTGTCATCATACCTCCCTCCTCCTCATCCGCCCTCCTCCTCTTCCTCATCCGACTCATCTTCCTCTCCCTCCTTCTGCTCCTCCCTCCTCCTGCCGCTCCAATCACTATTCATTCTTCTCCTTCTCCTAATCTTCGAATCCTCCTCCTTGTTCTCATCCTCCTCATTCCCCAAATCCCCTTCGATTGTGGCCCTCTCTCTATATATATACATGAATATATATATATATATATATATATACCATATATATATATATACTACATATATGTATATCTGATATATATATATATATATATATATATATATATTATATATATATATATTCATATATATATGTATATATATACATACAAACGCGTGTGAGGCGTCCATGGGCATTGAGGGTAACATGGCGTCAAGCACGTTGCAGCGAACAGCATACGAGACATACAGACGAATGAGTGATTCACATGTCGGCAGACACATCGCCCATGTAACATTCCTGGCGATGGCTCCATGACATAGTACAAAGATCAACGAAACATAATACAGTCGGTCAGAAGGACGATTTTGGCAGCGGGGGTTTTTTGAAGGCGTCCAAGTGCATCTTTCCAAGAGACACGCGTTCAGACGGCACTCAACAATGCGAAGTTGCATACACCTTTGGTTTAGTTTTGATAAGCCAGATGGCTGAGACCGCCTTAACATGTGACTCCCTTGCGGAAGCCGACAACACGAGAAAAACACGGCAAGCCGACTAGACAACCGTCAATGGAACGTTGGGGAATCAGGCCAGCAAGACAAGACGAACATTCGAGCACACACACAATTGGTAACACGCCCACGTAATACGAGGACAGCACGACCTCAGAAGTATGATCTCACCTATAAGCGAATCAACAAACTTATGGGAATAAGGCTCCTGGATGGATTTCCTCCACCAAAAGACAGAACAATATATCCGCAGAACGCATGCACATCCGTGATTGCGGGAACTGTGCGTTGAATCGACTTACACAGTATATGCGTGGTTCTTGCAGCTGCGATATGCGCAATTTGAGCATCTGAGCGTGGCAACCGTAGTGCCTGTGAAATAATATTCGATCCCAGAATATGATACTTAGGGTGCTGGACGGGGTATGGGATCCCATGGGGCAAAGTGCTCATGATGGCATTACCTGCATCTCAGACTACAAGCGACAGTCACACAGCATTCGGTCCTTGCGTTGAGTGCTGCAAGCTAGTGTGGCGTTGCGACACTAGCGTTGAGTGAGACTAGCTTGCATCCGTACTCCAAGAGGAGGAGGAGGAGGAGGAGGAGGAGGAGGAGGAGGAGGAGGAGGACGAGGCCGAGGATGGGCGAGAAGGGGTCGCCCCCTCACCCAGCGGGCCGGCAGGAGGACAGCACGAGGGCGTGCCACGGTCCACCAACCGTGCCAGGGGCCATCACAGGATGAGGACGAAGCGCCCGACCAACATGGTGAACAGGGCAACCCCGAAGGGGACGATCGCCCACTCGCGGCACAACTTGCTGTACCACTTCCGGAACCACCCGGGCAGTAGCGGGAGGTTGACCTCCCAGACCAGGTTCGACGTGTAGGACCCTCCGAGCATGACCATCTCGTCGATCTCGTTAATACATACAACCGCGGCCGAGTTCAAGACCAAGTCCCCGGGCGAGCTGGAGGTGCATAAAAACAGCCCGCCGATAAATACGATCAGCAGTGGCACAAGGAACTTGTCAAAAATAATCAAAATAGACGCGATGACCGGCACGTACCACTCGTGGTGCCCGCCTGGCCTGTGGCTGCCATCGACTGTTATCTCGATGGTCTGGACCTCTTCGTGCACAGCGCGCATTCCGGGAATCGTCTTGTTCTTGATTACCGCATCTCTGAGCTGCTGGTGGCCGAAGTCGCCGTCAGTTCTCGACGCGAGCGCCCAGCTTTGTCCCAACATGAGGGTGGATGGGCCCAGCGTTTGCGCGGCCGAGGTCATCCTCGGCCCCATCTGCGCCGGAGGAAGAGGATCTTCATCACTATCTTCGTCATAAACGGTCCCCTCGGCCATCTCGTGCGTGCCGCCCTCTGCGTCGTGGACAAACATGAGGGCGCGCACGCCTAGCGGCAGCGGGCCGAAGCAGTGGAACCAATGCACGACGATGGCAATCGTGATCAAGAACCACGGCGTATCGGGCTCCGCCAACCGGCTTGCTGCGCTGTGGGCATTCAGCACCAGTCTGGCCATGTAGAAAATGAACACGAGCTGCACCCCGACCGGGAGCCAGATGAAACCGAGCAAGTCCCTGACGAACTCGATCGTCGGCCTCGAGCAGTTCGGGTGCTCGCCGTTCAGCTTACCTTTCACGTGCCGCGGCAGGTCGTTCGGCAGCCCGTAGAGGAAGATCAGGGTCGCGCCGGTGGTCCCGAGCTCCCGCGGGTTCAGGGACATCGCGCCGCGGGGGAGGGCGGCGCGGGCGCGCCTCCGCCGCCGCCGCCGCCGGCGCGCGCGCGGAGGCGCCCGCCCGGCGCCTGGCCCAGGCCGGCATGCGTCAGAGACCCCGCGGGCCTCTCGATTCGATCTCGAGCCAGAATGGCTCTGGGTCGTCGTTCGTATCTCATCTGGCCTTTGCACGACTCATTCCCTTTACCTGTATTTGCAATGCCGCCGCAGACGCACTGACAGAGACAAGGACTCGAGCCTGCCTCCAGTACAACCCGAATCGCTCAACGCTCTAGAGTCGTTGCGGCCGTGCGTCCTTCACCCCCTTCCCTCCCAGCCTCTTCCTTGCCGCAGCAGCCCTGGCATAGCCGCGACAACAACTAGGATCCAAAGCACCGCCGATCCAACAAACTCTGGTCGTCGACCGTTTCTTCGCCTGTCGGTCCTGCGACTAGCAATGGCTAGGTCGATCCTGTGTCCAGATTGTTGGCACTTTTGTTCGCTCGCGCTCCCGAATGTACCTGGCCTCATCCTGTCCCGGTTGCCTAGCAATTCCTTCGTTCGGTTGTGTTTTGCCAAGTGTTCCCGGGGCTCGGACCTGTGCTCAAATTGTCGAGAACTCTCTTTGTCTTGCCCTGTTCCCTACTGCTGCCGGCTCGGCCCTGTTCTTCCAAAGGGCCTGCGAGGTTCGAGCAACCTGAAAAAATCGGATCCGGACTTGATCCGTGCCATCCCCAGCGGGACTATATCTACCTGGGTTGCGCGTCGGGGTTGACGGGTCGCACGTGCAGTCCAGCACAGGGTGCCCTGCTTGCTTGCCTGCCTGCATACTGGCTTGCTTGGTGACTCCCATGAATTACACCGCGTCCATCTGGAGTCAACAATGGCAAGAATGCTTTGGATTCTGATGATTTCTTTCGTTCGGCCCAATTCCAGTTCTGGACTGCTCCAGCCCTGGTCCTGTGCACTGCTCGTCAACGATATTCTTCGATCGGACCTTTCCTGAATGCTCCTGGCTCGGTCCTGCGGCCGGGTCGCCAACAACTTCTTTTCGTTCGGTCGGTCGAGGCCGTAGTTGCAATAGGTCCCGCCAACAGAGGCCCTGCCGTGGATGCCCGTTGTGGCTCCATTGCGGTGGCTGCCCATATGGTCCTGCCCGTAGGGCCGCGGCCTTCGTTGTTCTGAAGAACCCTTCGCGTGGGGCGTGCAGGAGGCCGACCTTTGAATCTGATCGAATTCAAAGTTGCAGGTCGGCGGAAGGACAAGCATATATACAAACGCGCGAAGGCGTCCATGGACAGTGTGGGTGACATGGTGTCAAACACGATGCAACAAACAGCATAAGGGGCATACGGACGAATGAGTGATGAACATGTCGGCAGACACATCGCCCATGCAACGTTCGTGGCGATGGCTCCCTGACATGGTACACACATATCAACGATGCAAGATACAGTCGGTCAGGACGATTTTGGCAGCGGGGGGATTTCGAATGCGTCCAAGTGCATCTTTCCAAGAGGCACGCGATCAGACGGCGTTCAGGACTGCACCAGCGAGCGGCGATCCGGGGCAACCGATGCGAGCATTGGCTGGCGTGCAAGACGGGGGAACTAGATAGGCAGAGCGGCCGCGAAGGAAAAGGGAGGGCGGAGGGCACTCAGACGCGGAAGAATTCCATGCTGAATGCGCCAGCGCGGCCAACAACGGCAGCGGGGGCCGTGGCAGCAGCCGGGCCGCGGCGTCGGTGCACCCGCGGGCGCTGCCGATGGTCAGTGCGAAGTATAACAAATCGTAAACAGTGCTGGCGTCCAGGTTGGGGACAGCCGACTGCAAGATGCTGTGCCCACCAAGTGGATGGCTGGGGGAAGGTGCGCCCTGGCGCAGCATCCTCAGCCAAGGACACAACATTTGTTTTTGTCCCTACCTCCGGCCAGCGTGGGCGCGCGTCCCGCGCCGCGCGGATCCCCGCTCGTCTCCTCAGGCGGGTGCCGTCGGTGCCGCTTTTCTCTCCCCTGGCACTGCTCTGGGGCCCCCACAGCCGCCCCGAGAGTCGCGGGCGTTCTAACCCCACCCTCACTCGGGGCCCGCGCTGGCGCGCCTCCCCGAACCTCTCCTTGGCGGAAGGCGGCTGGATCCCTGCGGTCGCTGCAGCCGCTGCTCCGCGGTGACTCCGTGCGGGGCCAGCGCGGCACGGCTGCGCTGATGTGTGCAGCACCGCCGCACGGGGCAACAATTTACGCTGCTAGCGTACTGAGCCAGCATCCGAAGTGGAGAGGGGGCCCAGGCGTTCCGTAAACGACTCCTCGGGTGGGTTCCTGACAGACACTGCACGCGAGATTCCTCTCAATCTCCCCCTCGGCGCACCGATACGTCGCCGGCACGCCGGGTGCAGCGTGAGGCTCCTGATCGGGGCTCGACGGGTTCGGAAGGCGGGCCACACCAGGTGAACCGACGGGCCCAAGACCCACGGAGACAACGCTGGCCGTGGCAAATGCCTGTGACATCCTGGCGCCGCCCCCGGGCAACGGCGGCACGGCCAGAGGCTCGTCAGGCCCACCATCAGCACGCTGGTCTTCGAGCGAAGGCCGCTGCGCGTCAGGCGAACGCTGTGGTCCGGGCGCGACGACACCAGGTGCGCCACTGGGTGTGGCACAGTGGCGACGTCTTGTTTGTCCCTTTTGCTCTAGCGTGCCGCTGCCCCTCCTCGCGCGTGCTGCAAGCTGCGGTGCTGCTCGCTGGCGCCGGGGTCGTGCTGGAAGCTGCGGTGCTGCTCGCTGGCCCTGGGATCGTGGAAGCTGCTGCGCTGCACACTGGCGCCGTAGCCGTGCTGGAAACCGCGTTGCTGCCCACTGGCGTCGGAGGCATGTTGGAAACTTCGGCGCTGCTCACTGGCCCCGAAGTCGCGGACACTGCTGTGTTGCTCACTGGCGCCGGCTCCGTGCTGCAAGCTGCGGTGCTGCTCACCGGCGCCAGGGTCGTGTTTGGGACTGCGGTGCTGCTCTCTGGCCCTGGGATCGTGGACGCTGCGGCGCTGCGCGCTGGCGCCGGAACCATGCTGGAGACCGCGCTGCCGCTCGCTGCCGCCGGGGCCGTGCTGGAAAGTCACCGTATAGGAGGCCGTCCTGGTTGCTTCCCTTCCGCCAAGTTCCGCGGCCCTTTCAGAGGCTTCCGCCAATGCAGGGATGGCACGAATCGATTCACGAACGTGCTCCGACTGACCAGGAGCGCGGGGGCACGACGGGGGGGGGCGATAACCACGAACCCAAGGGACCCAGGACCCCTTCCTCCACTGCATGTGGCGTCTTGTGACGTCGCTGGGTTCCCTCGCGCCTGCCTGGCGGACCCCTCCCCCCTGTCCACGCTCGCCGCCTGGCGAGGCAGCTCCTTGCTCAGCTGTGGGGCCCGCGCTCGTCCAGGTCCTGAGCAGACCCATGGTGGGGAGGGCGTCAGAAGGTTCCCCGCCTCCCCTGTAGCACGAAACCCCTTCATGTTCAGACCCGCCACTGATCGTGGCAACACCTTGTGGGAATATGCCAGCGTCGCCCCCGAGCGGAAGAGACGCGGCGCGGGACGAATCAGCAGCCCCCGGGCGCCGACGCGGGCAGGCGTCTACCAGGTACCCCTCCCTCCCTGGTCTCGGCATCGTTGTCGTCCCCATGGTCCGCCCGGCAGAGACCGTCTGGCTCCTCGCGGTCGCGATGCTGGAGCCCGTCTGGCTGCTAACGATCGTGCTGCTGGAGTCCGTCCTATTGCGCACGATCGAGCTGCTGGGGTCTGTCGTGCTGCTCACGATGCTGCGGCTGGAGTCCGTCGTGCTGCTCGTGGTCGAGCTGCTGGAGTCCGTCGTCCTGCTCACGAGGGTGCTGTTGGCGCCCGTCCTGCTGCTCACAACCGTGCTGCTGGGTTCAGCTTTCCGGCCGTGGCGACGAGGGCTCCAGGACGAGCAGCGGTCGCAAGACCGACGCCCCCTCTGGCGCCCCGAAGAGCCGGCCGTGGCGATGAGGGCTCCCCAGGACGCACAGCGGTGCCAAGATCTCCCCTACCTCCGCCCCTCGAAATCCTCCAACTCCCCGAGGGTCCAGCCGTGGCGACGAGGGCTTTTGCGGCGACGACGCCACAGGGAGGAGGGCGACACGCCTCGAGGGAATCAGGTCCCCTCCCGCCCTAGAATCGGGGGAACCAGGTCCCCTCCCGCCACTGAGCATGGCAACGCCTTGTGAGATCGCGTTGCTGGGTCCACCAACTCCCCTGCGAGCTGCAAGTCCTCCGTGTTCTGCTGAACCGCCGCTGATCGTGGTAACTTCTTTTGGCAATACATCGTGGTAACTTCTTGTGGCAATCAATTCGCGTCGCCCCGGGGCAGAGGCGACGCGGCATGTGGCTGGTCAGGATCTCCGCTGGTGCGGCCACCCCTCGGCAGATGCCGGTGTCCGTCGGGGGGAGCGGTCCGCGCCGATCTCCGCTGGTGCGGCCACCCCTCGGCAGATGCCGGTGTCCGTCGGGGGGAGCGGTCCGCGCCAGGAGTGGGGGCGCTATGGGGGGGGGGGGGCGATAGCGGCAAGCCCGGGGGGCCCAGCGCCCCCCCCCGCCACTGATCATGGCAACCCCTTGCTCTCGGACAGGGGCGCGATTTCAGCGCCAGTCCTGGGCGGAACCGACGTGGGCGAAGCGTCGCTGTCTTCCCCCGGGCCCCCCCGTCTCGTCGGGGATCTTCTGACCCGGGTCAATCCAGACCAGGGTCAGCCAGGCCTTGCAGAATCCTGCAAGATCCTGCAAGACCCTGCGCCCAAACCTGGGTCAATGCCAATGGTCCTGCAAAATCCTGCAGGATCCTGCACCCAAGCCTGGGTCAATGGGAGCCTGGCTCTGCAGGGTCCTGCAAAATCTGGCGCTCTGGCTGGCCCCCGCTTGCATTGACCCCCGTCTCAAGGCTCCCGAACTCGCCCCGTCCCCTTTTTCCCGGGTCTGTTGCCGCAGGGGGTGGCGCCACGCCCAGGAGCGGGGCTCGTGTCCGCGCCCGTCTCGGCCAGCCCCGCCACGGGCGGGCGACTTCCGAGCCGGGCCCCCTCCGCTCTCCCCCGGCCCCTTCCTCCCCACGCTGGCTGG